TGAACGATGTGCCGCGTTATCGAGCAGACATTCACCCTTGGTATCATGAAGAAAAAATCGGTCGACCCGTTGGCTGGGCGTTCTATAGTCGTTTTCAATCTGACAAATATGACTGTCCTCCAGAGGATTGCTATACTTTCTTCGAGATCTAATTTAAGCTCGGCCTGCGCTTTCCTCTGAACCCTGAGATCCTTCGCATTTGCGAGTGGTTCTCTCTTCCTTTGCATCAACTTCCCCCTAATGCCATCCGCTTCATAACAACCTTCAACATCCTTTGTCGCGTCCGTCTGGGTCGATTCGATCTGGATTTCTTCCACTATTGTTATGGCCCTTCAAAGTGAAGTGCCCACTTCATCAACGACGTCCCTTTCAATCTCCCCAAGTGGAGTGATAAATTCATCTTTGTTCGACCTGACGTCCCTTTCCCCTGGCCTTCCATTCCTTGGGTCAAAGAAGTCTCGTGAGAGGCGGCCTCGGCCCCTCCTCTGAATCATCTCTTCGACCAGCGGATTCACACTTGGAATGCCAAGTCCGTTGAGTCTGAAAAACTTCTCGGGAATGAAAATATTCTCCACTATTGCGGTCTTCTCACCCATAAAACTCTTTCTCCTCCTACTGAGGAGATTCTCAATCTTGTTCGTATTGAGAACGATCCAGGTAATTCTCGACCCGTTTGCTCGGGTGTTTGCATATGTTCTCTTATTCCTGTCGAAGTAAAAAACTGACATTTATCTTAATTTCTTTATTGTACTTGTGCAAAGGTTTCTAATTTTAACATCCCTCTGAGGAAAGTCCCTTTGAAGAAGAAATCGGGGACTGTTGCTGGATCGACCAGCGGCAGGACCGACGGGTCGACCAATTCCTCTTGGTCTCGACCCGAGCGACAGCAGCCATCGCTACCTCGCCAATCTCTCCCTCAGTCCTCGCCGTCACCACAGCCACCGCCATCTCAATCTCAGCAACCACCGCCCAAACAACAAAATCAACCTCAGCCACAACAACAAAAAAATCAACCTCAGCCACAACAACAACAACAACAACAACAACAACAACAGCGCCAGCCGCAACAGCAACAACAACAACAGCGCCAGCCGCAACAGCAACAACAACAACAGCAACAGCGACAGCGACAACAGCAACAACGACGACAGCCCTCTAAGACCCCAGAAGGGCAATCTTTCTTGCCCCCTTCCGAGAAGAACCCTCCGCACAAATCTGCCTCCCAATCGACCGCCAAGTCCTCGACCTCCTCGAAAACCATCAACCACCAACACAAGTCCGGTGATCGCCAAAAAACCACTGACCGCCATCGAGAAACAGACGACCGCTCACAGAGGACAGGTCCTCGAGCTTCCAATCCCAAAGATAACCCTCAAGGCAAAATCATCGAAAAATCCTCCGAACCCCACACTTCATCCAAGACCAAAACCCCAGAAAAACTACCCTCTAAAACCACTTCTGTCGGATCGACCAAAGCTCTGGTCGAGTCCGGCAATCATGATGACGGAGGACGTGAGTTGGCCTTGGGCAAGCGTTCTCGCACTGACCAGGGCGAGGCGATTGTCAAGCGAGGACGCTCGGGCCATTTTCCTCTTGATCCTCTCGCCCCAAAGTCGAAGTCCCTGCTATCAGCCTCTGTAAATGAGGTGGCCGAACGCCTCGAGGGTGCCCTCATCGAGAATATTGCAAGAAGGCCAACGTCACCTTGCCTGAAGTTGGCGATAAGCTCGTGCAGTGGCTTGCCCAGGTATGACTAAATTATTTCTATGTCAATTCCTACCTTCTTTCGTGTCTTCGATATATGGATTGGAATGACTAATTTTTGCTCGATTATAGGGCTTGGTCGATTTCTTGCCTCTGGCCAAGGAGGCCCGAGACAGCTCGGGTAAGTCGATAAAAGGCCTCGAGGGCACCATTGGCTACCTGCAAGATAAAAACTCGACCCTTGTGCAGCACAACGCTAAGCTCCGCGAGACACAGACAGAACAGAAGACTGAGTTCGACGTCAAGATTAGATACCTTAATGAAGAGCTCAGTAATAAAGGAAAGTCTCTCGCAGAGAGAGATGCTGCTCTTGCGGCAAATGATGCTGCGGTGGCAGAGAAAGAAACCGCGTTTAGGGAGAAGGAGGTTGCGCTCGAGCAAGAACGGATTGCTCGAACCCAAGTGGAGGCTGCTCGAGCATAGTCGGAGGCTACTTGGGTGCAATCAGAGGCTGCTCGAGCGCAGGCGGAGACTGCTCGGGTGCAGGCAAAGGCTGCTCGAGCTGAGCTGGAGGCTACCTTAGACAAAGAAAGGGCTGCCCACGCTAGCCAATGCAAACGCTACGCTGACGCCACAGCTCTTCGAGCTCGGAAAATGATGTGGGGCACAACAACTGGGCAGCTTTTCCTCCGCGAGTTCCATGAACAAGTGGTGGCTGATTATATGCGGTCACCCCAATTTTTGAAGGAGGTGCAAGACTTTGGGGTGGACTGCTTTCAGTTTGCCCTTCAGAAGGCCGGCGAGCAGATCGCCGAGGACGACTTCGTGCAGCTCGACCCTGGGGCTATCTTGGAGGCCCTGCCCAAGGTCCCTCCTAGCTTCCAGGGTGATCCCAACTTACCGCCTGAGCACGAGTGGGGGTCAGGGCTGCTCGAAAGGACTCTGGCTCGATCGGACACTTTGAAGAAGACTTATGCTCTGCCCGATGGCCTCACTCCTCCTGTCTCGATGCTGGCCGTGCTGACCGAGTCTATTCGTCAACGCCCCATCGATGAAGCTTGCAACCCGACCTCAGGGACCAGCCATCAGCCAAAACAGAACGCCAATCTGAGTAACGCTGACTCGACCGCAACTCCTCCTCCTTAGATTGGCTTTGTACTTTATGCTTTGTCCTTCTTGAATTTGGACTATGTTCTTCAATGAATTTTGTAATATTTTTGAAATGACAATATTTGTTTTTGACTTGTCTTTATCTTTAGTAAAGCTCTTTGGTAATTTGACTTGATGTCTTTGTTGTAACACTTCGATGGAAAAAACAAAGCGAACTTCAGGGTATGATTGATGCAAACTTTGATATATGATCAACACGCGTTCATTAGTCGGCCCATTCTTCGTTATTTAAATAATGTTTGTATGTTTGCCTCACGATCACTTGAATAATTTGGTCTTAACGTACACACGTACACACATGCTCACCCCTAGAGGTGGTCGAAGCATACGACCATCCAGCCGCATGGCCTTTAACGTGATGGGTTTTGAATTTTTGAACACATGCCCACCCCTGGAGGTGGTCGAAGCATGCGACCGTCCAGCCTCGTGGCCTTAAACATGATGGATTTTTGATTTTTGAACACATGCCCACACCTGGAGGTGGTCGAAGCATGCGACCATCCAACCGCATGGCCTTCAACGCGATGGGTTTTGAATTTTTGAACACATGCCCACCCCTGGAAGTGGTCGAAGCATGTGACCATCCAGCCTCGTGGCCTTAAACATGATGGATTTTCTGCGCCATTGGACTTCTCTTTTACGCTCAAGCTTTTGTGCTCGTCCTCTGGTCTTGAAGTTGTTCTCATCCCGATGCTCTTGTCTTCATGTTTTCTCACATGGCTCTAAGGTCTTCATTGTGAGGAATTTATCTTCACACTTGCCCACCCGCGAGGAATGTCCTAAACAAGTGACCACCCAACCCGAGGGCCTTATTCATGGTGGGTTTTGGTCTTGACACTTGCCCACCCGCGAGGAATGTTCTAAACAGGAGGTCTTCGACCAACCTGCCCACCCCAAGGGATGTTCTAAACAAGTGACCACCCAGCCCGAGGGCCTTAGTCATGGTGGCTTTTGTCTTCACACTTGCCCACCCGCGAGGAATGTTCTAAACAGGAGGTCTTCGACCAACCTGCCCACCCCAAGGGATGTTCTAAACAAGTGACCACCCAGCCCGAGGGCCTTAGTCATGGTGGGTTTTGGTCTTCACACTTGCCCACCCAAGAGGAATGTTCTAAACAGGAGGTCTTCGACCAACCTGCCCACCCCAAGGGTTGTTCTAAACAAGTGACCACCCAGCCCGAGGGCCTTAGTCATGGTGGGTTTTGGTCTTCATACTTGCCCACCCGCGAGGAATGTTCTAAACAGGAGGTCTTCGACCTGTTGGTGTTATATACTTAAGTTGTGCTTTAATGGATATTACACTTGTTATTCCTTGATGAATGAGAATTATGTTTGGTTAAATATGT